TTGTCGAATATTCTCTACTCTCATTCGCAATATTTGTTATTCTCCCTACACCAGCCATTCTTTATTTCATCGAATCCCTTGTTTGGCTATTTGGTATAAAAATGGATATATAAGATATTTAAGGTTTCGCATTTTCTCCCCCCAACAATAATCCTATTTGATTGCGCTAAATCCTAAATTTTCTACTAATGAAATGATTGGTGGAAGTTTAACGAATTTCAGCATTAACAAGTAACATTATGTGACCTGCGTTTCATTTTCCTTTCTTTCCTTCTTAATGCATCGCCCATCTTTTTCTATATATTCTTCGCTGATGCATTTGCATTGTTGAAAGCATATTTCAAGATGACCATCGATGTAAATCAATCGTTCGGACGTTTTGTAGACCATATTATGACCACATTTTCGACTTGTTAGTGTGCAAAGTGGTTCGCGAATCTCGCAGGATCGCCCTTCGCAATTTGCGCGAGTCTCAAGAAGCTAAATTTATATATTTCAACAAGTTTATTAAATGGGTGTTAGGTAGAGCTATTGTAATATTGAAAGAAAAATTTGATAAAAGCCTCAGCTTTACAATATACTTAAATTCATTAGAATTTTTTATTTATTAATTTATTATTTTTTATTTATTAATTTTTTATTTTAATTTTTGCGTTAGCCAAGAAAATACATCTCACTGGAATAAATACTAAATTTTCTATTCTCACGAAAAGTTAGAAACGATTATAAATTCTTCATCTTTTGGATAGTTCGTTGCACGGGAAGTTGTGGATATTCGGCGGCAGATCGTTGGGTTAAAATTGGTGTTGTAGTTTTTTTTCCTTTCGCAGGAAGGATGCATTGACCAATTGCCTTGATGTATTCTTCATCCAAATAAGTACACCTTTGAACACAAATCTTAGTACCATTTGTTCCGTACGATTTACTGACTTTGTCAAAAATTACATTGGTTCCACATATTTTACCAGTCAATGAACACGGAACTTCAAAAATTTCTTCGTCAAGTGCATATACTCTTCCCGCACATTATTTATACAATATTTTAGGAATAAGCTAAAGGTAAAGTCCCTTGCTGTTGGTACTTTTGCATTGTTTAGCTATGATTATTGCTGTTTTATTTGAACATAGTGAATTTTTAATAAATCTAATAATGACAAATTTAATAATAATTTTTAATAAATAGGATTTAATTTTATTTTGTCTTTGGACAGTATTTTCTTTAACGCATTGTCCATCTTTTTTCGTGTATTCATTGCTGAATACAAATCTTACAAGGTAGAATACTGCCTAAAGTTAGAATCTACCAATTTTTCATGGCCAATGGTTTCAAACGCCGTCTTTAGTCCCAATTCTCGTCTGCTAATGAATAGTGAACATCGATGAAATCGATTATTCTCTCGTGAAATTCAAAATATTTGCATTTTTTTTAATCAAATGAATGGTATAAAATAAAGTTTGTTAAAGTTAATATTGAAGTAATAATCATCTTCAAACTTTGATTTAAAATATCAAAATTTTCGTGCAATGAAAAAAATAAAAGAAATTGAGTGATAAATTTCGTATGTTTTATAATGGTGGAATTTCAAATTGATTTTTTTAAGATTAAAACTATAATAGAATTTCGAATTTTCGAATTTTACATATTTCCAAGTTAAAAAATGCAAAATATACTGAAATTTAGTAGTAATTAATTGAGTCGAAAAGCTAAATGGCGGTGGAAAATATGCAAAAATTGTGGATTTTTGACAAAAAATAAGAGAATGAATTTGATGAAAGTGAAAAATTGAATATAATTAAATAAATAATAAAATTTACTAATTTATGAAAATTATTAATTAAATATTAGTTATCTTATCTTTATTTATTATTAATTATCTTTAATATTTTGTTATTTATTGTAAAATATTGAATAATAATTAATATTTTATGTGTAATATATAAAATATGTTATTTATTGTAAAATATGTAATATAATATTGTAAATATATATATTTATATTTATAAAATATAAATATGTAATATTTATTATATATTTGTAAATATAATTGTAATACGACGCAATGGCATTTAATAGACTTAAAGAGAACCAATAGAAAGGTTTAAATCGAATCGATTCTGTGAAATACTATCTTCTTCGTTTACTATTTTTTTAAAAATCGAAAACATCGAAAGCAAAGTTTGGATTTTGAAAGAAAATTTTAGGTTTAAAAAATTAAGTGGTTCTGTTAGCAATCTTTCCAGTGATTTCGTGGAATCAGATCTGACAAATATTCGAAAATCCCAATATTTTCTGTGGTTGGCTTCATGGCTTTATAACAAAGACTTGGTGTACGCTTCACTGAGGAGCAATATCGTTTCAGCACCAACATTTGCTTTCAGCGTTGCAGAAGGCACCTAACTCCATGCAATTCGCCAGACCACGACATTCAGATCAGATTGATTCTAAATGTGTTAACCCCGCCTATGTAATAGTTACTAGACTGCGGTGAATATCGTAAGGACGTGATAACCTTTATAGATCGGACCATTGCGCATTAGGATTGGAATGATGCTGACAACAGGGCACCTTTACAAATGAGTCTGAAATTCAATAATGGAATCAGATGGATTCAAGCAAGGGACCATTATAACATAGTGAGGAAGACTGCAAGGACTAGAATAACTGTTGATAAAATTGCCGAATTGTGATAACGGGAATAAAAATCTATTAAACATCAGACCGGAATCAAACAAATCGAATATGACGATTCGTAATCTTTTTTATCACCGTGAATTTATTGGGAGACAATAATTTCTTTTATTTTCTTTATAATATTTTAAATTTGTTTCTTTCTAAATTTGTTTCAAATTTGTTTCATCTCACTGATTTAATTGAGTACATCAACATTTTTCAAAACCTTTTCAAAGCCTTTCGACTAAACCCAATACAGCCAAATTATGCTGACACAACCATTCGTGCGAATGTCTTATCATATCATACCGAATGCTTTACTTAATTTATTCACTATCTAAGTTTATAAGTTCGTTTTAGCTTGCATGAATGATTTCCTAAAAAGATTTTTGAATACTTTCTTTCAAATTTTTAGCTTTAAAATTATATATTTTATGCTATTATTTTATTTGGAAGCAACAAATTTTTATTTAATAAAAATGATTTTACAACAGAAAAAACAGCAGTTTCTTATGATTGATAAAATTATCAATTATCAATCAATAGAAGAAAAATAAGGAAAGAAATTTTTTCTGAATTTTTCATTTCCTATTTTCGAAATAAATTTTCTTGCTTTGGCTTCTGCACCAATCTGAAAAGAAATTCATTCGCTTTTTTTCGATGAACAACTTTCGAAAACATCCGATATAATATTTTATATTTTATAAATTAAATTATAAAAAATTATAGGAACCAACATGGAGTCAGTGCTATATAATTTATTAAAAGTCCTGTGGGCCATATAACCACAGTTCAGATTCGTTTGTTCGTCTTTTTTACATTAGTAATGAACCAAATATTTGATACTATTGTCGTTAAATTATGTAACTTTTGCTTATGAGAAATAAAGCGTTGAAAATCAAGCCGAATTCTCATTCGAATCAAAAATAACTAAACTAAAAGATGATTTTCCAAGCTTTAGAAAACTAAAACTAAAATTATTAAATTGTTGAGTTTAAACGCTATTATAGTAATAAAAATAAGGTTTAATGAAAATCTCAACTTAATAATTTTTATAAATTATGTTAGCCTTATTATTCTAAATTTATTTATTGCGGTAATAAAACATGATAAGCCATTGGAATTGACAAAATTTCAATTCTTATAGAAAAATAAGAAAAATCACAAATTTATCACCTTTTGAGCGGTTTGCCTCATGGGAAATTGTGGAATATTGGTAATTGTGGAATATTGGGTTGAAATTAGTGTTGCAGTATTCCTCATTCATACAAGTACATCTTTGAACACAAATTTTAGTACCATTTGTTTCGTTTGATTTACCAACTTTATCAAATATCATATTGGTTCCACACATTTTTCCAGTTAGGGAACATGAAACATCAGAAATCTCTTCGTCAAGTGCACACTCTCTTCCCGTACAGCGTTTAGGCAAAATTTCAGCTCGAAACTAAAGATAGACAAACTTCGTCTTTGCTAATCAACGACTATTGACACTTCTCACGTTCCTTAACAAAGGCCACAAATATACTATTTGAACATAGTGAAAGTTTCAAAGTTTTCAAACAATAATAATTGGTGAATTTGGCAAAATTTTGAAATTCATTAAAAAAAAATTCTAATAATTTTAGTATAGTTTCGCAATAAATTTAGCTTTAAAAGACCTCAGTTTCGTTTCGTACCGGAAAGCTGTTTTGCTTAATGCACTGTCCATCTTTTTTCACATATTTATTGACGCAAGTGCATTGCTGAATACAAAAAGTTAAAGATAACATGCTCGACATGCCCATGCGTAAAGTCCGATATACGGTTTTGAAGACCATATTTTTTCCACATTTCCCGCCTGTTAATAAGCATAGAGGATCAAAGATTTTTTCGTCAAGTGCGCACAATCTCCCCGCACAATATTTAGGCAATATTTCAGAAATTCGCTGAAGATTTCCTTGTTTATCAGCTGGTATTTTTCGCATTTTCTAAACAATGAATATTAATATGTTGTTTTGAAATTCATGAAAAAATTTTGTTAATTTTAGTTAGTATATTTTGCAATGAATTTATTGTTTGATTATAATGAATTTTCAAAGTTTTCAAACATTAATAATTAATGAATTCGGCAAAATTTTAAAATATGAAAAATTTCTGATAATTTTAGTAATAATAAATTTTTATAATAAATTTAGCTTAAAATAGACTTCAATTCCGTTTTGCATTGGAAGGCTCTTTTGCTTAATGCACTGTCCATCGGTTTGCACATATTCATCGCTGATACATTTGCACTCTTGAATGCACGTTTCAAGATTTAATGTTTCATCGGTGTAAATTAGTGTAAATTAATCGTTCAACAGTCTTGTAGACCATATTATGACCACATTCGCTATTCGTTTGGGTGCAAAATTCATCGTAAATTCGTGTGCATGACTGTCCAACACAATTTGAGTGGGCCACAGGGGATATGAACAACTGAAATTACATTTATTAAATGATGAGAATAGGTGTGTAAATTCTTTAGGATTAATGAGAGATACTTCCTTTTTACGATTGCAGTTTTCTCTCGAAATTTACGAGATCTAATATATTTCATTCAATGAAAGCGAAATAACTATTGAAATTGCCAAAAATAAAATTATCAAAAAATAAAATTTTTACCAGAGCAATAATAAGAATAACCATCGCTTGTGAGGTTAGGTGAAAAAATATGCTATGCTATTGTCCTATTTTCATTTTATATTCAATTTTTAATTAATTCTAAAATATTTAAATATTCCCGATAAAGTTGAAGGTTTCGTTAATTTTATTGTGACACCATAAATATGCACAGAATTTTGCACTGCAAAAGATTATCCGCAAATCGTTTGATATAAACAGGCGAAATCTTAAAAGATTTACGAAAAACGGTAGTGCACACATATGACGGCAGAGCTTATCAGTTGATTAGGTTGATATCCCGTTAATCATGAGCAAATGAAGAGCTTACGACAGAAATTTGCATGCATTGATAAAAAAAAGGATGTTCAACGATTATGACCGATGTATTAGAAAAATTTATTGAATATTTTGAATATCATGAGATGACAGATAAAAAATTTCACTTTATAGCAACCATTATAATATCAAACGGGAAAAGCTGTTGCAACGTAAGAACTTTGATAAGCCTTATCACATAACATTCCGTTAAAATTTTTCTTTAAAGCCACTTGTTAATGGTTATATTCTGCGGAATAATAAATATTCGATATAAATATAATATAAATATTCTATCCATCTTTTTAAAGATTTTTTCAATTATTTTTTCAATTATGTGAAATAAAGGAAAAAAAAAATGGTTGTTGATATTTTCATTTTTCGTCCTCTTCGAATTTTCTTGTTCATTTATAAAATTTAAATAACTAAATAAATAAAAACAAAAAATGCTGTTCCACCATAAATACTTTGTGAGACGAATTTCAGCTCTATTATATGCCACGCTTAGGAATCCGTGAAATTTTGTGGATGAACCCTAATAATTCTTTAGAATCTTCCCACTTTTTAAACTTCCCAAAATTTCCTTCAAAAAAAAAGAATCAAAATCCGAATTTTTACCAGAGTTATAACTACTATAATAATAATTTTATAATTTTGCAACGAACAGTGATCGTATTTTTAAAATTCGAATCGTATTTAATTTTATATTGATTTTGCCTAAATCTGCTAAATACCATTGCATTACATATTTTACAACAAATAACGAAATATTAAGAACAATTATTATAATTATTTTTTTTCATAGAAACTAATTTTTATTCATAAATTCGTAAAAAAACAATTTTTATTATTTATTTATTCACTTTTAATCAAATTCATATTCGTTTTGTTCAAATCCACAATTTTTGCATATTTTCTAGTGGCATTTGGTTTTTGATTCAACAAATTACTAGTAAATTTTAATATATTACGATGTTTTTTTAAATTTGGAAATATTATAGTTCGAAATTTTATTAGAAAATAATTTCCTCAATCATATATTGCCTTTATTATATTCTATAATTTGCATTTTTCCTATTTTGCTGAAAAATTATTTTAAAATAATTTTAAATTTTACATAAACGAAATAAATTTGAAATTTCACCATTGTCAAAACATTGGAGATTTCAAAATAATTAGAATTTCTGTCCAATAAAACCTAAAAATGAAATTTGTGCAGGAAATTTTTACTTTTATTCCAAATTCGAGGAAATTTTATTAAAATTACTTTTCAAAAATGGCAAATTTGTCGAAATTAATTTCTCGAAATATTGCTTAAAAATATTTTTTTAATGCAATAATTATATTAAATTTTTTATATAAATATTTTTCTCCATTATTTACGATCAAATTATTATAAAAATTATCATTGAACTATATATGATGAATTTATTGTAAAATTTTAGCAGATTAATAAATTATTGCAGAGGAATGATGCTCGACTGCCACGCGTTAATGTTTTAAAAAAATACTTGATCCGGCTGTTTTATCAGAATTAATAGAAGCATTGATCACCGCACATATCAATTAAAATTTTGTTCTTCACCTCAAACATGAGCAATTAAACCTCTACAGTATACTGATAAGAAAAAACAATTTCTACAGTATACTGATGAGAAAAAACAATTATACTTAATAAAAATTAATTCCGAAGGCTAAAAGATAATTTTCTCAAGAACAAATAGGAAATGAATAAATAATATAGATCTTAACCAACAAAAAATATTGAAATATTGGGGCCCAACAGCTTGAATCACTCGGCTCGCCATTCTAAGAGAAAGAGAAAATTTTCTTGAGAAGCGTGTACAACTTGTGTAAATTGACCCTAATAGTTTTGTTGACATATATAAATGGAAGAAGCAAAGAATTTAAATTTAATTAAAGGTTCCTTCTGGTGGATCGACGTCGACTAGTTTGAAAATAATAAATTTAGAAAAAGCATCGCATTTCGCGACATTTACTTAAGAGTTTGTTAAACAATTTTGTAGAACTCATGTGATCCCATAAAAATTTATAAATCTAAACAAAATGTATAATATTAAAAAAAAATTTATTTTTTTAATGAAATGAAATTTAATGAAATCTTTAAGAAATGAAATTTTCAGCAGCAAATTCTCACCATTTGAAAGCAAAATTTTGCATCTATGTGGCTATGATATGCAAAATACTATATAATGAAACTTGCGAGAATGAAAGATATCAGCAAATGCCTTTGACGACTCTCGTCAAAGATATATCCTATATGCTTCCGAAGTGGACAAGGCTGATTGCATTCATTCTCGCGAATGTTATCTACATTATATTCAGAATATCGTCACAAATTGTCCTCTGCACTGGTTTGAACTATGTGGTTCCGGGGAAATTTTGAACGCTTGCCCGAAATATATAGGCTTAAGCCACGGAAAAATTAGTGGCTTTAGTTTTTATCACCAGTGGAATAAACCAAATCCCTGTATTGATACTGGCTATTGGAAGAAAATGAATCAAACTTATGATACGATTATATACGCTTATATCAGGAGGGCCACTTGAGTAGAATGGTATATGCAAACTGAGCTTATTAATTTTTGATGGAATAATTATTCGATTGAGATCTATTGTTGAGTGAGGGAGTGAGGAATCTTTTCGAAATATGGAAAATGAAAAATTACTAATAAAATCCATAATCAATTATCGGCAATCGGGGATGATAACACTGTTTCGACTTAAGTATTATGGATTCGTAGTTTGTGGTTCTTGCGGAGAGGAAACTTGTCATGAATAGTAAAAACAACAATATTTATGGCCAATATGACTATATAATATCGTTTAAGATTTTCTTTTGTTTAAGGCTTGTGTAGTAAGCTTAAACAAATTAATTTCTTCACCTTTGAATTCGTTCCTTTCCTTTCATTCAACTGATTATATCACCACTCTTCTCAGCAATAGGCCTTAGCCCTTTCGTCTAAGCCTAATGCAGCCAAATTATGTTGATACGCTGGCACATAATCACATATTCGTGCGAATGCTTTATTCTGCAGGACCAGAGAGCTTTTTCAATTCTTCGTAATATCATACCGAATATCAATTTATATAGTTTATTATCGGAATTTACAAAGTTGGTTTATATTTATATGAATGAATTTATGAAAAGATTTTTGAAGAGATTTTGATTTTTAAAAATTCTAGAATTCTTAGCTTTAAAATTATATTTTATAATTATTATAGTAATTATTACAATTTCATATTTTTTGTCCTTTTGTCTTTTGCAAATAACCAATTTTTATTTTGTACAATTTTACCACAAAAAATATAGCAATTTCATAAAATTTATTAAATTATGGATTAGAAAATAAGGAAAGAAAGTTTTTTTGAATTTTTCATTTCTTCGAAATCTTCGAAATTAGCGCTTTTGCCTTGGCTTCTGCAGCATTCTGAAAATAAATCCATTCGGATTTATATTTCGAAAATATTCAATATCATATTTTATGAAAAAATTAAATTATAAATCGTTTAGTTGAGAATTATAGACAGTAGCGAGTTGTTGAATTAAAGTTGGCCTCATCGCATTTGAATTTCCTTCGGTGGAAAGGATTCATTCACATTTCACCTAAAGAAATACATTTTCGAACGCAAATTTCACTAGCATTCGCCTTATGCGATTTATCGCTGTTATCAAATATTATATTTGTTCCCCAGATTTTGCCAGTTAGTGAATAGAAAACAGAAATTTCTTCATGTATTCAAATTGTTCCCGCGTTTCAGGAATTTCTTTAAGGTGGATAAAGGTGAATTTCCTCACCAATCAGCTGTTGGTACCACTCGCATTTTTTAGCGATAGCTATGATTATATTCAATTTAATTTAATCACAATAGATATATAAAATTTTAAAATTTTCAGGTAAATATTTATTCTAACAATCAGTGATTATTAATCGGCGAATTTTGAAAAAATTTTACAATTCATAGGAAAATCTATGCTGAATTTTTGAATATTTTTGAAAAAAATTTAACTTATGAAAGACCTCAGTTTCGTTTCCGATTAGGAACACTGTTTTGTTCAATGCATTGTCCATCTTTTTTCACATATTCATTGCTGACACAAGTGCATTGTTGAATACATTTCTTAAAAATTAGCAGATTGTCGCCCATGTGTAATGGTTGACCTATAGTTTTAAACGCCATGTTCAGACCACATTTCCGGTCTGTTAATGAGCACAGAACATCCGAGATTGTTTCGTCAAGTGCACAGACTCGTCCGGCGCACGCCTTTATTGTTGTTAACTCTACGGGAAGCTGGAAATTTATTATAATATTTTTCATGCATCGGATTTAAACTTGCAAGCTTCCATATATGCACCATAGATTTTTAGAAAAACTTTAAACTCTATTAAACGTGGGCTTTTTGAGTGATGAATGGATGAATTTTAGTGAAATTCAGCGATTATAATAATATTCATATCAATAATTTTATGACCTGCTGTTTTTCCTTCGCAAGACCATCTTGTTTAATGCATTGTCCACCTTTTTTCACGTACTGGTCGCTGATACATGTGCAGTGCGAAATGCATATTGTAGGAGGTAAAATACCATCGATGTTAATTAATCGAGTACTTCTATAGGCCATATTATGACCACATTTCCGACCAGTTTTTGTGCAAAATGGATCTAATATTCGTGTGCATGAGCTCCCAACACAGTATGAAAAAGCCTCAGGGAAGTTAATTAGCTGAAATTACATGTTTTAACAAATGGTGAGAATTGATGCCTAAAGTCGTTAAAATTAATAAGGGATGCCCTCTCTGTTAATCTGCCTGGTTTTCTTACAAAATGTAAGAAATTTAATAAATTTTAATTGTTAAATTTGAAATCAGTTAACCACCCACTGAAATTGCTAAATTAATAAATAAAAGCGAAATTTTCAATAAAAAAAAAGATTTTTACCAGAATAACAGTTAAAAAAATCATCGATTGTGAGGTTATGTGGAAATGAGTTTTGTGCGATTTTCTTTCGCTTTATATGGAATTTTTAATTAATTCGAAAATATACTCGCTTTTCTCGCGTATTGAATGTTTCATTATGCAAATTACATAAAATACTTCACATGCATTTTATTTTTTTAAATTCATAATTTAAAACAAAATTTGCGAGAAATATTATTATAAATCGAATTTTCATTTAAAAGGATTTATAAATTTTACGAAAAAAACTTGCAAAAAATTTTAATTTTTCGCCCCCTTCGAATTTTCTATTTCACTTCTAAAATTTAAATAAATAAATAAAAACAAATAAATACATTAAAAATGCTGTTGCACCATGAATACTTTGTGAGACGTATTTTAACTTTATTACATACCACACTTAGGAATCCATAAAATTTTGTGGATGAACACTAGCAATTCTTTAGAGTCTTCCAACTTTTTAGACTTCCTAAAAATTTCCTTTAAAAAAAAAGAATCAAAATCCGATTTTCTACCAGAGTTATGAATATTATAATAATAATGCGTTGCTACGAACGGAGATCAAATTTTGTAGATCCGATTCATATTAAATTTTATATTGATTTTGCCTAAATCTACTAAATGCCATTGCGTCACATATTTTGCAACAAATGACGAAATATTAAGAATAATTAATAATTTTTATTCATAAATTCGCAATTTTTATCATTTATTTAATTTTTTAAATTTTATTCATTTTATTTTTTATCAAATTCATATTCGTATTGTCCAAATCCACATTTTTTACATACTTTCTAGTGGCATTTGGTTTTGGATTCAATAAATCTTAGTAATTTTAATAATTTTAGTAATTTTAGTAATTTTACAAGTAAATTTTAGTAATTTCGTAATTTTTTTAACATAGAAAATAAAAATTTATTTAAAATTTATTTATTTAAAAATTAAATATAGTGCTTTTATCATATTTTATGATTTGCAATTTTCCTATTTTGCTGAAAAATAATTTTAAAAATTTAAAATTTTTAAATAAGCCAAATTTGAAATTTCACCATTGTTAAGATATTGGAAATTTCAAAATAATTATAATTTTCATCCAACAAAAAAAAAACCTAAACATAAATGCATTTTTGTCGAAAATTTTGGTCCTAAATGCTATGAAAAATTAATTTAATTTAATTTTGAAAAATAGCATTTCAATCGATTTGAAATTAATTTTTTGCTTGAAAATATTTCATTTTGAGCAAAAATTATCAATGACGAAATTTACTGCAATTATTTATGATTGATCAAATTACTACGAAATTCAAATTCAGGCAATGAATAATTGGTATTCAGAATTTCAAATTATAAGTTTCTATAATTTACAATTCTGTACAAATTACATTTTCAATATATAATTGATAATGTAATTTACTATATTGAAAATTTATTTTACAACTTTTGAATAAAAAGTAAAATATTCAGAATAAAATTTTCAGGAGCAAATTGAGTTACCCTCAGGCAGAAGGCGATCGATTTTGGAAATTATAAACAAGGAAAATTGATGAAATTTTGCAAAGATTAAGAAAAAAATTAAATATTTGGTGAAAATAAATGTAACCGAAGGAAAAACTTTTCTTTAATCAAACATTATTCGCTTATTAAAGACTTCAGAAATAATATTATGAAAAGATCGGTAAAATTGAAGTAACTGGCATTTTGCCTTTTATCGCTGATGGGAACGTATATAAGGTTAAACGTTAAATTCGGAAAATCATCGTGAAAATCGATTTTGTCATTTCGTAATCTTTTTTTTCATGAATATTGAGCATGATTTTTTCAAAAATTATTTCCATCTCTTTTGAAATTATCCTCTTTTCCGCTTCCTCACATCATTTTTAGTGATCATAACATTTTTTGCACTGATTGCTTTTATTTTTATGACTTGACCTTGCGCAAATCAAACTATTAATAAAATGGCTTAAGCGAAGAATGGCTTTCATATTCCTTTAATTTCCATTATTTTTTATTCCACAGAAACGGAAATTCCAATTTCTCGTTATTCAATGTCGTATGCAAAATTCATAGTTTATAATGAAGTTTTTTCTGTTTAAGTTTATTCTTAAGTTTATTTAAGTTATTCTCATACAAAGAAAAATTCGCTATAGCCAATTCGAATAATCGCATTATTAATTTTTAATTATTAATTTTCTCGCTAAAATATGGAAAACCATAAAAATCACTATTTTCAATTTTAAATTCATATATAAATATAGATTTATATAAATTCACTAAAATCATAGAAATCATCTTAGAGATCTCTTAAAAATTTGTATTGTAGTAGAAAATTGTCTCAGAAATATCTTAGAAAATACCTTTCTTTCTCAAACAAATAAATTTTATTCAATACTGCAATTGAAAAATGCATCAATCTATGTTTTTTTTATCAGAGGAAAGAGAAACGAGGTAAGGAGACATATTTTTTCTGTATTTCGCATACCGAAACGGATCTCTTGTTGTAGCCTTTGTTCTAACCTGAAAATTGTAATATTTCATTTTCGAAGAATTGCTTCTAATGACTGCAATTGAAAATATTCTATACTTTGAGAGGATGTCTTTTTTAATATTCAGTGCTTAATATGAAATATTATATGAATTAATTAAATGGATTGATATTAATACTAAGAATAAGATTTTCTTGATAAATATGATAAAAAAATGATAAAAAAGAAAATTTTTATAATAAAAAATTCATACAATTGCTTCATATTTTATTTCACAAGAAGAATGCTTTCGATTTATTATTCTAACGACTTTCGCTATTAATGATAAAGTTGCTTCTCCAGATAGGAGGTTAAAGAATCATCAACAAACAATATCTTCTTTCGAAGGCCTAGTGCCATATATAACTGGACTGCCTGAGAGTCCAAAATCTCTTCTGATCAACCTACGCCAATCGGGTTTCTAATTGATACTCCTCGCTTTTGCCGCAATCATACGGCGCAAAAGGTTGCTAGATCTCAATTCTTGAAGAAGCACCAATGGACACGGCCAAACAACTCAGCTTTATATTAATATTGTAGCTGGTATTTGAACAAAGATGGATGCACTCATATGAATTTTATCCATTCACATCGATTATCAGACATATGTGGTCAAAGAAAGATCGCTTCCTAATATTCTACGTTCTCTACGTTACTCTCACTAATAATGTTCAGTACAACACGTACCAGTCAGATAGTCGATTTCGCTGCTTTGGTTATTTGGTATAAAAGTGGATATCCTGGTGATGCTGGCGACTCACCTGTATTTCTATTGCCTAAGAGCTACCTGGCATATTGCCTAATGCGAAAAGCCAGTAGAGCGAGTTTAACCAGTTATGGTGAGGACTCTTAAAAAAGAAAAAGAGTGGATATACAAAATAATTAAAGTTTAACAGTTTCTCCACTCGTGAAAAATTGGCACTATCGATATTTTATCAGCGTTTCTGTTAAATAAGCCGAAAAGCCTCTTTTTTTTTACATTAGTCATAAACCCAAAATCTGGTGCACGTTATGTTTCATCTATTGAATTTCATCAACTTAATCACCAAAATACATATGCGATGTATTTTGGTGATTAAGTTGTGTAAATGCAATATAATTGATTAAATTGAACAAGTGGTATAATCTACAATCCAATCTAATGCTTTCTCCAATACAATACTATAGGAAAAGGAATGCAACACTGGCCAGTTTTTCGTTGTTTTGTCATTTGTCATTTTTTAAGAGCCATCACCATTACTGGTTAAACTCACTCCACTAGCTTGTCGCAATTGAGCAATATGCGAGGGCGTTCTTTTTGCGATAGAAATACAGATGAGTCGCCAGCATAACCCGAATCTTTGTGCAGGTTTACTCCTATAGAGAATCGAACCTCAGCATCGGCGCTCCCAATTGAGCAACAACCCACTGAACCATTGAGCCAGTTCTTCATAGTTTAATGAAAGCTTTCAAATCATCAACAAACGATGCAATTTTACAGTTACTATTTAATTCAGCTAAATTTTAAATTTTACAATAATTTCAACATTAAAGTATGACTTGCGCTGGATTTTTTTTCGTGGATCGCATAATGCATCGTCCACCTTCTTTCGTATATTCTTCGCTGATACATTTGCATTGCTGAATGCATATTTCAGGAGAGCCATCGTTGTAAATCAATTGTTTAATAGTTTTATAGACCATATTATCGCCACACTTCAGATCTGTTAGCATGCAAAATAGGTCGCGAATCCGCTCGCAAGTTCGTCCAACGCAATTCTTAGAAGAGCGAGTCTTAGAAAACTGAAATTACATGTTTTATTAAATAACTACTGAAATTACAAATTATTACTGCCGAAATATCGAAAATATTTTGTTATATAGAAAATAAGATTTAAAGAAAACATTTTCGATAGGTTCAGCCTTATATTACTTTTTATTTATAAACGACTTAAATTCATCCAATATTACATTAGGAAAGATAACTAAGGAAGATAAATGTCAATGGAACAAAAGATAAATATTGTACTCTCATGAGAAATAAACAACAATTGTAAATTTCTCACCTTTCGCATGGTTGGTTGAAGTTTTGATTCGGTGGCAGATCGTTGGGTTGAAGTTGGTGTCGCAGTTTCATTTCCTTTCGTAGAAAGGATGCACTGAC